CATAAAATCTAGGGTTTTTTTTAAGAGAAACATTTTTCAGTTATTCACAAAAAAAAAACAAGATATTCAATATTTAACTCAGAATTAAATTTAATAATTGATTTCCTTTAATTCCTGTTGGAGCATAGGACACTATGCTTCTAGCATAGACTTCTATGCGTGCTAAATATAAATGAAGGGATAAATTATACTAAACTAAGTTATATTAAAAACACTTGTTCTGCTAAAATTAATAATAAATCTAATGCAAGGAATTCCTAAATATATTATTTTTGGGAAATAATTATTAGTATGTGCATTTAAGGCATTTGTGGGTCCTCTGCTTTATGCAAGTTAACACACACGTCTCCCAAATCCGGCCCTGTGCTTAGTTTCATTAACGGAGCAATCATGCGATATTATTCGAACGCATGGTTGCTACCAAATGGGACATCCACTTGTTTGTCTGGAAAAGTCCCCTTTCGCTTCGGTAGCTCCCAACTTCGCAAAAGTGCGCTTGAGCTCTTCTACTTGATCTATCGAACTAGAAACACGGAATACCGGACAAATTAAATTAATATTTAACTTACATAAATGTTAAAAAGTAATGTTACTTCTACAATATACTTTATATCCCCTCTACTGTTTATGCATGTATAAAATCAAATAAATTAAAAATATGTCAGTTCTTAAAGTTGTAAAACTCGGTTCTACAAATAAATCTGGAATATATCTCAAAATGGAATCACAATTGTCTTATTAACATAATAAAATATATTTTAGGTTGAAATCAGTAGGATATCCATTTCAGATATTACTTTAAAAGAACAATATTATTAAAATGAACAACTTCCATTTTTGTTTATATATCCAAGAAAATATAGAAAGAAGTGAGTGGTTCCAATAGACGGATTTTACCTGTGATTTAGAATCTTTTAGGAGAGATTCCAAAAAAATATTATCCTTAGAAAATTGTTCATTGTTGTATAATGAATTGCTAAGTATTACAAAGTCTACAATATGTCATTAAATGCAATTTCTTTTATGTTAATTAGTTTTTTGTACTGAATATACATCTAGTTGACAGAATTAATTTAGAAGACATCCTCGTCAGAAGTGTTTGCGGAAAGCATCCATATCACTAGACAATTACATAAATAACAACCCAAAATGAACATTCGGTGAAAAGAAAAACCAATAATGAAATAAGTAGTAACTACTTCAGGAGCGTATCTTTTTACTTAAACATGGGTGCTATACATTGGACGTATTCAGTGTTAAAAATATGTAACCAGTTTTCCGTGAAAACATTTGCTTTTTTATTATAATATGTCTTCAAAGACCGCAATTCATGACCAATGATTAATTGGTCTTTAGGTCGCTATGTCTTGATGACGTCTTCACTAGAGGATCGATGCATTTCTATTCCCAACTGTTTAACTAAAACAAGCTCAACATATATTAGGCACTTGTCAGTGAGAAGACTTGTACGATAAAAAACTTTACTTATTTGCTTAGAAGAACAGCAAGAGCATTTCCCATTTTATTGCAATTAAGTTATATCTATGAGACTCGGCAAAATGTTTGAAATTTTAATTTTGGCGATATATATTTTTAATATATAGGGGTCTTTACTTCTATTTTATTTAATTTTACTTTTCTTAAATTAATGTTAAGGTTTGTACCATTAACAAAGTTCATAAGTAATTAAGAGAATAATATTATTTGTTTCGTTGTTTCTGAAACTAATGCACATAAGATACACTTTTGCTTAAAATTTCGATCAACCTCTATTTTGAATAGATTATTTGGAGCGTGCTATTAGTTATAAAATACAACATCATTTAAATGTCCTCCACAGGACATTTTACAGTACTAAATCCTTATAATTTCTGTGACGTGACTGCACATAGTAAGCAATAATGGTCTCTTGCATAGCCCCCATGGAGTGTATGAAATCCCATCCTATTGGAACTACATATACTTAAAATCTATATATTCATTTTCATTTGAAAAAATGTGTAATCATGTGGCTGTACCGATCAGACTGGACGATTTGCAAAACAACTTGATCGTTTTCAAAGAAATACTGGTTATTGAAACCTACAGCCCAAATATCACACCATTGAATAACTTATTTTGGATATAAATATTTTTCGATAGATACTTTTTCATAGATATCTGTTGTCTCAGATGCAACAATTTTGCTTGTTGACATATTCACTAAGCGTAAAACAAGCCTTATCAGTGAAAAAAATCTTCTACAAAAACATATTATTTGAGTTAAGTTTTCACAATTTCAACATATCTTGAAAGTATGAAACGATCCACATTTTAAAATGCTAAAATAAGATATATACACGATGCCTTTTACGACAGTGTTGACTGACACCTATCACTGTAACAAAGCTGTCAAGTCAGGACCACGAAATGGATAACACTCTATTGAATTATATTATTTTATATTATATTTATTATAATTTTATATTATATGTATGTTATATTTATATTATACTGATATTATATATTTGAAATTATATATATATAATTTATATTTGCATTAAATTTTTAATGTATTAATATTAATTTTATATTAATAATATATTTATAATATATATTATTATGCTTACATTAAATTTTTATTCTATTTATATTATATTAACATTATATTTATGTTATACTTATATTAAATTTATATTGGTGATGTTATATTTATATTAAATAGAAATTATGTTTAAGTTATATATATATTATATTCGCATTATATTTAAATTATATTTATATTATTTTTTCGTTCTATTTATATTATATTTATATTGTACTTTCCTAATGTCCATTTTGTGTTTATATTATATATATATGTTATATTTATATTATATTGATGTTATATTTCAAGTAATGTGTATATTGTACTTACATTATATTTTTAATATATTTGTATTATTATATTTCAAGTTATATATTTATATTTTATATTTATATTACATTTTTAATATATTTATATTATTTTTATATTATTTTTATATTGTATTTATATTATATTTATATTATTTTTGTGTTATACATATATTGAATTTATTTTATATTTATGTTGCATTTACATATCAAGTAATTTATATTTTATATATACATTGTATTATTAATATATTTATATTATATTTTGTTATACTTACATTTTATTTTTATTCTATTTACATTTACATTTGTATTTACTCACATATATTTTTATTATTTATATATATTATATTTATGTTATATTAATATTGAATCTTATTTTTCTTACATTTTATTTTTATTCTCGTATATATATTATATACATACATGCATATTATATTTATATTATATTTTACTGTACTTACATCTTATTTTCATTATGTTTATATATTTTATTTATATTATGTTATATTATTAAAAAATATTATGTTATATTATATTATATTATAACGTTATTGTTAATGTTAATGTTAATCATTATAATTTATTGCATTATATTATATTTTATTATATTATATTATTTTATTTATTCTCCCTAATTTAATTAATATATTTATTTACTGTTTAATATGATATATAATATGCCAAGCAAAAAATGTTGTTGAATACATTTTGCTGCTGTTGACAGGGGGGAGCGAGCATGTTGGCATCGTTCGAACTGTTCGAAAAGTTCGAGGTATAAAGATGTTTGATGCTTCTTCATTGCGTGCGTTCATACATGGCATGCATTTGCTTTGCGATACATGCAACATCTTCCAACTAAGAAGACAAATGCTATTGGAAAACAGAACAGTTGCAAAGCGAACGACTAATGTGGTGGATGTGTGCCGGCGGGAGACGCGTCAGAATAAACCAGCGATTTGTACGTAAAATGTTTACAATACGGGAAGCGTTGATTATAAATATTTCAGAAGATGCTGTACAACAAATTCATTTATCATAAATATTGTTTTGAGATTTAAAAATCAGAAAGTCAGAAAGTCAGAAAGTAAAAGAAGATATTTATCAAAAAACCGCACTTAGTTTAATTTAGTGCAGCTATAATAAATAGTCCTCAGCGAAGACTGTGTGATCAAAGCGTTCTTAAGTATATTGTGTGTGTTCAGAATTGTTTGCTTTTCACCATGCAATTTGCGGACTGTTTGACTTTAAATGAGACGTAAAGAGCGTAGCCGCAAAGCAGCATGCCGGTTGAAATTGATCCATAAAGTTGAATCGATCTCTAAAAAATAATGTCTGTCTAAATTGATACGACTAAGCATATTTGTTAGTACAAACATTTATGAATGTTATTACGTTTGTTGCTTCCATCCACCCGGCGAAGCATCTGTTAGTGTTAGTGAATTGAATCGATGGGGACGGCAAAACATACTCGAACGGGTTTTAAACGTATTTGTCGTATTTGTCGGTATTTTAATTATTTAACTGATTTGAGCTTAGTAATTAATTTGTCGACCTGACTTTTTGGCTGGCTGGTTGGTTGGCACTTGTCGGTCTGTTCGTTGAAAGAAGTTGGAAGATATATACCAAAACGATCTTTGTTTATTGAACGAAAGCTAATCCAAATATTCCAACAAAATAAACGGTTTAAATAAGAAGAAGAAAGAAGTTCAACAGGTCAACAATCAACAATCAACATCAACATCAACAATATTTTTTCACATAAACGCTTTATGCGTAAACAACACAAAATATATTACAAATAATAAATAAAAATTAATTGCATTGGAATAAAGCAGTACCTAAATCTTTCTGGCTCCTAATTTCTAAGAAAATATATTTTTAGTGTAAACATATATATATTTTAGCTGTAGTAATTTATGACTGCTATACCAACGCATAAATACAATCGAAAAATTAATATTTAATTAATTTAGTTTTATATAATATATACATATATATATATATGTATATATATACATAAATTGCAATAAAACTAAACAATTAAATTAACAAGTATTATACTCCAGTAATGCCACAAATATAAAATTAATTAAATAGTCAGTGTTCTCGTATATAGTATATAGTATAGTAAAATTAATTATTTAAACCACATATAAGCATATAAGCAAATAAGCATCTAAGCATAACTTTTTCATTTAATAACGAAATATAAACGCCATGCATTTACTTTGGCTTATCACAATTGCGACAGTATCAGTTCTGCACTTGCAGCTAATAAATTGTGACGATCTGGCAATTCTAACAAATATTGTTGGTAATACCAATATCAAAAATGAACAGCACCTCAGCGACAGTATTAACACGATTACTGGCCTACACGTAAACAGTTCATTAATAAACAGTATTCTGAACAGCGGTAATAATAATGACAGGAGCGTGGGAGGTGCCGTTAATTTAGGAAGTGTAGTGAATAACGGTAACAATGGTATGAGCAGTAATGTTGGATTAAGTGACATTCAAAGGAGTACAACTGCCTTTACAACACTGGCCTCTTCGGGCGGTAAGAGTGGCGACGGTGGAAGTTTAACGGTTACTGCTCACGGACATCCATTAGCTGGGCTTACCGAACTAGGAATAATCGTTCCTAGAAATCCAGGTATGGGTATACTGGATGGACACCGTATGCTTGGCGCTGAAAGTGGAGTTACAAATGGCATTGAAAATGGCGTAGATCGCAACAGTGGTGCACAAGCCCCATACTAGTAAGTACCGAAATGTTTTTTACTATTTTATACAAATACAATAATATATAATATATTTATTATCATTGCCATTTTGGGTAATGGCAAGAAAATTATAAATTATAATAATGAATATTAATTAAAATATTTAAAATGTAATATAATATAATATATACATAAGTAATAGATGAAAAAACATTCAATATGCTTCTATAAGAAGATTCTATGATGTCAAAGTTCTGTAAATTTGTTCTATTGAGAAGATTGAAGTACTTCAAACTGACATCAGTTTACAAGTATACACAAATAGCTTCTTTGAAATTATTTTTTTTTTTTTTGTTTTTTTGTTATTTACTTAATATTATTTGAAATTTGTTGCTCTTTACAAACCTCTCATTAAAGTACTGAGATGGAGTGTATTTTATGTACGCATCCAATTTTATATGTTTAGATATATGGTATTCGGATTCTTTGTTGTAATGCTGTAATGTTGTAAACAAATTAAATGTATACAATTTTACCAATTACATTTTAACCTACACTCATATTAAATATTTTTTATGGAATGCAATAAAATTTGCGCAACTACTGTATATCCTACGAGTATCACGAGTATTAGGAATCAAGACGTTTAAGCTGATTGTTTATACATTCCGCTCAAAATCCAAAAATTTATAACGAATTCAAAACAAAATTTATTATAATTTTAAATTTGAGCAATACATTTTTAAAATTATTTAAAAATATTTCCCACTTAAAACATTTACTGCTTACTGCTTGAAGTAAATGTTTTATTGTCTTCAGTATATAGTAAATTACCTCGTTAAAACTGAACTATTCTATATACATATGTATATATATATGTATTTCTATATTGTATATATTGTATATATGCTTGAAGAATTTATCGTAATTGGAAAATCTTAGTGCAAATTTATTAGATACAGATATTCCAGAATTGAGTTCTAACTCATAGGAAAGTAAACTAAACTACGAGTATAATAAATAAATGTTCATTTAAATTTGACTTAAAAAAAACATTCAAATCAAATAATACTCAATAAATAATTCTTTTATTGAATTGTTGAATTGTTGAATTGTATATTTGTACTATACGAGTAGATTTATACTTCAGCATAAAACTTAAATTTTATTTCTTAGTGTCTTAAGCCGCTTAACCGCTTAAAGTTGTAATTCTCAATTCGATTTCATTAATTTAGTTGTTTATTTTTGTTTGAGTTATTTAATTTCTTAGACTTCTGTAGATTTCAGTCTGTTTGTTAAAGAAATAATTTAATTGCACCAATCAGGCATCAATTTATTTTAAAATGAAAAACATTTCTGCAATAATTTTTTATTGTGCTTTTAAAATTCTGATCGTTTTCGATGTTTAAATGCAATAATTATAATTATTTTCAGTTTAAAAACTTTCCGTACTAATTTATGATCTAGTACATTTAACTAAACCCAACAGAAACGAAAAAAATTTATGCAAATTCTGTTGTGTATATATTAAGATGGTTTAACACATAAAAATCGCGAACTCAATGTAAATAAATCCAATTAAATTACGATCTGATCTCCATCTATTTCCGGAGCGATAAAACTTAAATACAAAAAAATTTAACAGTTCGGCATATAGGTATCTTGCACTATCAATTCACACTTTTTTAATATTAAAGTCAGTGTAAATTATTTAAATTAAATTCAAATACATTCATTTATCCTTTTCTTGTCTTAATGTAATCAATCAAAATTATTAAACATCCTTAATTAATAAATTGACGTGTTATATAAAATATGTGTAACTTAATTTTGTCCAGGTAAGTAGGACGGACAGACAGACAAAAAACTTTTGATACAAGTTTTAAAATATTATATAATACAGTGAAAACTCTCCCAACAAACACCCTTATTAAGACCACATCCCTCTTAAACAAACAATATTTCTAAAAAGAACATTTTCTCATTGTTAGTTCGAAGCGCTTAATACTTTTTGGTCGGACACGTCCCTTGATTGTGGAAATATTGTCAGCTGAAGAGTGTTGGTTTAAGGGAGTTTACACTGTGTCTCATTACTTATTATATTATTTAAATATATATTTACTAAAAATCATACTTTTATACTACCAGAATAGCAGCATGCAACAGTACGATGTTATCTGTTGATTATATTAGAACATTATATTAGCATATTTTAAACGATCCCTGCAATATACACACCCACAACTTAAAGATGATAAGGTAATAACGGTTTAGTATACTCTAAAAATTGTCTTCATAAGATTTTACACGAAAATACCGTGAAGCGACGAGTATTTTACATTTTAAACAGGGTAAACAGGCACAATTGAACTGCAACTTTTAACGAAACCATATATTTTTGTGTAAAATCAAATTTCATTAAGTTACAAGCAAAATTTTGTAACAAAACGCATTTTTAGCACGAACTTTTGCTTTGAGTTGGTCATTAAATAGATTGCATACTATTCCTCTGGGTGCATATTTGAAATCTCCATTCATTCCGAAACAAAAACCTACATTGGAATAACATAACCCTGCACTCGGTCTTTGGCCAATTTGAGTAAAGAAAGAAAGGTGGAACGTTCTTGGTTGGCAAGTGTTGCATATGATAGCAGACAATCTGGTTGAAACGTAGACTTTCCCTAATCGATAGTACTGATTGTTTATAGCTTTAAAGCACTTTCCAAGGTAACGTGGTCCAAACACACCAGTAAGGAGTGATTATAGCTCAACCCAAATTATCAGTCTATCAACTTCTCTGTTAAAGTAAGCTTAATCTTTTGGTTAATTAAGAAACTGTTAATTTGGAAAATTTTTCAAATCAATAGGACGGTATTTGGTGATTGACTCCGTTTCCACAAGCGCAACAACCCCTTCTTTCTATCGAACACAACTTCTTTTTTTTTTAACCTAAATTCATTGTTGTCCTATTCAAAGCTTATAAGGTTTCTCTTTGAACTCACTTTTGAGTAGATATGTTTTTATTAATTTCAATACATTAAGCTGAGCAGCCATTTATCTACCACTGTAACGGGGATTTCTTTCTAGACAAGCTAGCAGTTTGCTATGCTATTGTTTGGGACACGGAAAATATGTTTCAGTTAAGATATCCGAAGATTCCAATAAATTATGGATAAAATTTTGTCTAAGAAACCAAGACGTTAGTGCTTTAACATGCTTGTAAAGAATTAAATTAAGGATTAATTAACAGTTCGTCGTAAGTTATATTAGTTAAAATTTAATTAAAAATTAATAAATACTTTTATAGTTTTCTATAGATAGTTTCGAAGAGTTTTTTTGATTGCGATTAATTTCATTTTTCATGAGACCGTAAATATTTGGTATTTCTAGATATCTGAGTATAAAATTGGAATATTTTTTGAGTAGTGCGAACGTATGCAAACTATACTACTTTGATATCCTAATCTCTTCAGTATAGCAGCACATAAATTTTTCAATTTTTTTTGTCTAGTTTCTAGTCTAGTTTATAAACTATTATTTCGTAAATAATAAGCGTTTGTTAATATTGATGTATTATTATCAAAAGTTCAAAAGTTATACTATTTTCAAGCTGAGGTCAGCTAATTTGAACCAACCAGTACAAAATGAAATCAGGAAAAATCCGCAATGCAGGAATTGCAAATTAATTAATCCAAAACTTATCTTCCTAAAATTATACACAGAAGTACCATAAAACTACAATTTCAAATTTGGTAAATATATTTCATATATCATTTGGTATATATATTAATTCAGAAAATTAAGTACGTTTGGACTTTATACATATGTCCAAAATCCATAAAATGAATATGATTTTAATTTTATCCATATTTTTAAAAATTAGAAACGTTTGGACTTTTTCCATATGTCCAAAACCATAAAATGCATATGATTTTAATTTTAGCCATATTTTAGAATATACCTAAATTTATGTTACTACTACCCATTCGATTATTTTAAAATGTGGTATATATAGCATAATATATATATTATAGCATCTAATAATTATAAATATTGGCTATAACATATATGCAACTAAATAAAATTTTTTTGTTTGTAAAAAATATATCTTTGAGTTACTTAAAAACCTTATCTCATTAATAATACACAAAATTCATACATTCTATCATTAAATAATTTGTTTTTATATAAATTTATATATAATAGTATTTATTGCAAGTTTTCTTCTTTATACCAATCACATCCCCATTAAGTTTGACACTCTCTATGTTGTGCTTCCAGAACACACAGTTCTGAATTCTCACTTTGTATATACTTCATTTTCTAAATCACTTACCACACCATCTAAAATATAGGTATAAATTTAAGTTATTGCTGATAATGTAAATAATCTCTTATGTATATATAATCTTGTAATTGTGAGAAAGTATTACAAATCAGTAACTGGATGTGAATTTGATATTTGGTTGCATGTATATTTCTCCCACGTAACGCTTTTGCTGTAATATACTCGGTACATCGCTGATTTTATTTTTTTTTTGTATATTTTGACCTTTAACTGCTGTGCTCTCCGAAGTTGTCATTCACATTGATTCTGTTATGCTATTTTCATTTAAGTGAATCTCTTTAGTTATTAAATCTGATTCTAAAAACTTAAAACTCTCCAACACTTCCATAGTGTCATTGCCAATTTTTGGTAATATCGCATTATCTGTGGCATCGATGAACCGAAACTCATTTTATCCAATTCAATTACTATAATAATATCTAAATTTATTCATTTTATTAATACATGTTCGTTAGATTATGCACATAAAACTGAATTAAGGATTCCTAGGACATGAACGAATGGATATTCTCTCTGCTTTATTAATTACCTATTCAGTGTCTGCCAAAATCGTATTTTTTTTTATTTTCATTTATATTGTTGATGGTTATTTTTAAATTTTTAAAAGGGGAACTTCGCTATCCGAAAATACCATATTAATTTGATGTTATATTACTTGGATCACACACACATGCGGATCATGTATCAT